ACTGACCAGTCAAACTTTATCTAAAATAGATTTTCAAATATGTTAGCCCTGCAGGCCAGTTAAACTCACTCACAATGTTCAGTTAAACTTCTAAGGTGCTTGCATTCCTGTTTGGACTTCCAGGTCCACCTTGAATCATGAGTACTACTCATACTAGTACTCAGTGGATGCATCTGTTCAAAAGGAGTACTCAATGGGCACTTCTACATGAGATGCTTAATTCACAGTAGCCTAATAACTCTGCGCAGTAGCACATCACAGCACGGACAGTGCTAATATGCTACTGCATAGTATCATTAGGCTGCTGTCTAGTAGCGTCACTAAAAAGGCGTTTGCCAGTGCTACTGCATCTAGTTAGTACTTCATTAAGCAAGTACTAAATTAAATGCACAGTAACTACTGTGCATTAATGAATGTGTAGACGTGCTCAATAGGCTCATTTCTACTTGGTGTTATATTCTGGGGCTCATCTGTTTTACCATTCTGTGACTCTTGTGTGTCTGAGATATCCTTGGGAAAAATGGCAGTTATCTCCTTTTCTTGTGGACTTTGGAGGTGACACCTATTCCCTTCAGTATGTATCCATTTGAGATGACAGCTTCATGAGGCAATTGCTTGGCACATCAGTGCATTTGCAACCACTAGCTCCTATGACAGATATAGAATAAATCGTTGTGGCAGTTTCTGGGACTAGAAATTAAACTGATCAGTTTTGTTTGGCTGTATTTGTCCCTATACTTCTGCAAATTCCCCAGTTACATTCCCCTCAGTTTCTCACACTTTAGGTTTTCTTGTGCTTAGCTTTCTGTTAAATAAAATGTCACCAGGTGACAACCCAGGCTTCAATGATATTGTTCTTTAGTTTATTAGTGCTAAATATGAAACTAAGTTGTATTTCACAACCCCTTTCAATACATACTTTATTATATTGATGCTGTTTTCTATCAGCCCATTGGACTGGGGATACTGATGTTTAGTGGTTACATGTCTTTTCAAACTGTTTAAACCCATACCCACATAATGTTGCTTTATCACGTATAGTATGCCCCACAAAAATAGATTTGACATACATAAACACCAGTTTAGCTTAAGTATCATCTAGTAAAACTGTCTCAGAGAAGTGTGAATAATGAGTACACAATGTTTTCTGTCATTATACACAAAGCTATGCCTAATTTACTCCAAGTGTCCTTCTTCCTGCACTACCAGCACAGGCTTTTTTGTTTTGGGCCACATTTTTCTCGTATGTTATTTCTGAGGCCAACATAAACTATTTCAGACCTTCTCTTAGATTTTTCAATTCTTAAATGATCTTCTTTGATCTTTGTAGCACATTTTTCTGTAACACCTTAGGAATGAGCATTCTTGTTGTATTAAACAGGATCCCATTCAATACTGAGAGTTCCACCATAAAGTGGTGGTAAGGCCTCTCAATGGGCTGTCCTGGCCATCTGTGCAAATAGCTTCAATTGCTTTCTGTTGGTTTCTATCTAGAACTATAGCTCCTATAGTCACTATTTATGATTTCCATGACACCTGCGAATTTTCAAGGTTTTCTTTATTGCTAATGATCAGATTGATATGTATAATGTCCAGCTCTGGACTTTGCCCGACTGCGTTTCTGTTAGAGAGTGTCTGGCACCACAAAGCCTCTCCCAGATTTGAATGTGACTTGCAAATCATTTACGTCTGACTTAAAAAATAACCTCTATATTTTTGGGGTAGGGACTGTATATCACACCTCGTTTGGCAATAACAATTTCAGTTGTTATGGTTTCAGTTAATGCTGACCTATGAATAAATAATCTGAAACTTCCTCTTCATTATTAGGGTAAAGACATTCAGATTTGGTTAGCATCTATGATGCATAAGAACTGGACTCCAGTTTTGAGCTTATTACTATAAGAGAATTGCACTAACAATCTCTTTGGAGGCATTCATAGACCACATAATTTTTGCTTTTACTGTCATAGTATCTCGAGGATGTGGCCTTTTTAATCAACTTGTTTCGTTTCTCAAACTCTTAATGGTTTCAGCCCATGTGTATTGGATGCTTTTGTTCACTAGTGCTCCAGGCTGATCGTCTGGGTACCTAAATTAGACACAAATTCCCTTACACATTCACTTTTCCAAAGAATCTTTGTGCTACTTCTTGTCTGACCTTAATCTTGCTGTGATCTTCCTGTAGCGTAGACTATGCCATGTTTGCTTCTCTCTTAGTAACAAAGAATTTATGTTATTGTTTGTTTGGCTTAATTAGGCATCTGTGGCTCATTCCTAAATTAGGCTCAGTGATGCCAGTTCTTCACAGCAGAAACTTACCACACAAACCTCAAAACCCTCCCAGACTGCATCTGGCCTATGGAAGAGCCATTTTATCTGTCCCACAGAGCCAGGAGCCTTTGGTGGCATTTCTGCAGCCGGGGCTTTACCTGAATGGTGGAGAAAAGCAGCAGCAATGGCTGCACAGCTCTGGCTCTGACTGTAGTGGCAGTGCAGGACAATTTGGAAGTGGTCTGTACTCAAAGCTAAACTCCCTTAAAATGGCCCCCTCCTGCAAAATGTTGCTGATCCCTGCTTTAGGGGAATAAACTGACCATTGTAAGCTCTGTAGTTACCAGCTTACTTTCTAGTCTCTCTGCTTTTTCTTTAAGTTATTACTAATGCTTCTGCCAATACTTTGGCTTATGCACTAGTACTCAGTGGGTGCATCTACACAAGATGCTTGATGCGCGGTAGCCTAATAACATTGAACAGTAGTGTGCCAGGCAAAAACTGTGCTAATACACTACTGCTCAGTGGTATTAGGATACTATGTAGTAAGTGTCACTAAAAACCCATGCACCTATGCTACAGGGCAGTAACTCTCGTTACTGTGCATTTAATTTGTACTTCATTAAGCAAGTACTAAATTAAATGAGTAGTAACTACTGTGCATTAATGAACATGTATATGCGCCCAGTGGGTGTGTTTACTTGTGCATTAGATCTAGGAACAGTTTACTCATGAGTAAGCTACTTGTGATTAAATGCTCCTGAGCAGGCGTCTACATGTGCAGAGAAATGGGAGCAGATATGCTGCTAATGGCAGAAAACTGCTCCTGCTTCCTGGGGCCCTGCAGTGGGTCCCTGCTGCCACCAGAGGGAGCTTTAGTCTCTCCCTGGGAGCTAGCCCAGGGGCTGGTTCAGGGAGCACAGGGTTAGGAGACAGATGTCTCTTAACCATGGCTGGGATATTGCTCCCTTCCCTCAGAGGTTTTCCTGGTGCCGGGACAGGGACAATGTCCACCTGTCCTAGCAGGATGGAGCTTCTGGCCCTGGCTCCCCTGTCAGGGCAGGGGACTTGGAAAGAGCTGTAGGGGAGGGGCAGGTCCCAGCCCCCTGCCTTGATCTACCGGTGGGGCAGCTAGCAGTGATCCCCTAGCTGGGTGGGGATTCCCTGACCAGCCAGGGGCTCACTACTAGCTGCCCCACCAGTGGATGGGACAGGGGGCTGGGACCTGCCCCGCCCTTACAGCTCTTTCCAAGTCCCACATTTCAATTGCCTGATTGGGGCACGGGGCTGGGACTTGCCCTTGACTGGGACAGTTCCCAGCCCCTGCTCCATGATCACAAGGTGGGGTCTGGAGAACCCACCCAGCTCTGTGATCATGGAGCTGGGCAGGGAACAGGCTTTTCAGCCCCTGCCAGCAGGGAGCTCCCAGTGCCAGTCCATGGTCGCAGGGCCAGCACTGGGAGATCCTTTTCTCCCAGCACCGGTCCTGCGGTTGTGAAACCAGTGCTGAGAGATAAGGATCTCCCAGCACTGGCTCCACTAATGTGGAGCTGGTGGTCAGAAATAAGGAACTCGCAGCCCTCCGCTCCCCAATTGCAATGGTAAAGTGGAGGCTGGGAGATAAGGATCTCTCAGTCCTTGCTCTCCAAATGCGATCTTGGAGCGGGGGGCTTGGAGCTCCCTGCTGCCAAAACACCAGGCTCTTGTGGTGCAGCCCACCCCAGCAGCAGGCAGCTTCTGGGGCAGGGAGCAATCTCCCACCCCCTGGTGGCTGGCTGACTGGGAGCAGATTTGCTTCCAGTATTGTCTACATGAGCACTACTGTGTAGTAAATAATTGCAAGTAAATAGGCTACTTGCATTTGCAGGAGCAAACTTAAATGCAATTAGTAAGGTTTACTGTGCAAGTAAGCATGTGCATGTGTAGATGCACACACTTACTATATAGTAAACTGGTACTGCACAGTGAAGTGTCTCATGTAGATGCACCTGCTGGGGATGTAATAAGCATCCCAGTTGCTTTCATGTTGATGGTAGATTCATATAATTCTGTGATACTCTCTGTTGCTCATAGGAGGAATTTATCTGCACTAATGATATTGTTATTGTCATCTGCCCACACTGTGCCACACTCTGCTGGCTCTTGCGGAGTGATATAATCCATTTTATTTCTTATTTCTTTCTTCTGAATGCTAGTCAACACCCTGGCTTATGTTGGCTATTCTAGCATATGCAGCTCCTCATGCTTGGCTCTGATATTGAGCTCTCCATCCTCTGCCTGAGGTCTCTTTTCCTGGAGTATTTTGAATTCTGTATCATGCTGACAATGTCAGAGTGCTGTGTTCCCTTCATAAACTTCATTCTGGGCTGGGTGATATCTGTTGCTTGGCAAATTCTAATTGCTTTGTCAAGGGTTAATTGTGGGTCTCCCAGTAATCTCTGATTTCTTACTTTCAGATCTCAATCAGTCTCTTCTCAATGACCCAGTTAACTGTCCCCAAAGACTGCATGATTGGCTGCTCAGTCTCAGATGAGTCACAAACTCTTCTATCATTTTACCTTCCACTTATACTGTCTGATATCTTTTGTACATTTCATTTTTTACAGGGAGTAACCTATTTTGTACTATAGCTTCACAGTTAGCCTCCTTTATCTCAGTTAGCCCAAAACTATTGCACTTACAATGTGCTTTAGAACCACGTCCTGTCAGACCTAAGGCTGTCAGACCTTCTGAACGTCTGCTTCTTTACTGGCATCCATTGCCTGCACTAACAGAGTGCAAGTGTATTTGGATTTCCTCTGGTCTTCTTCCATGTTGTCAAGGGTTCTCCATTGTGAAGTTTTATCAGCTCCCTTCTTCCACTCCAGGTATTTTTTTTAAATTCCTTTGAATCCCTGTACCATGCAGAGGTCAGTAGTCTCTAAGAAAATGATAGAGATCTGTTTCCATGTCACAGTTTTAACTTGCCAGGATTTATGTAAGATCAGCCCCTGTGTAATGTAACATGACTGTCTTAAGGAGGCAATTCCTTTTAGGTTAAATCTTTCCAGTGAGTCAACCTGTAGCCCTTTTTAAAATTCTGCTACAAGTTTATAACCACTGCTTAAGTTTATAACCAAAGGCTATTTTCATTCCTAGAGATCTGAAGGCATCCTCTCTTCCTTAAACTTAAGGTCAAATCCATGGCTATGAAAGACTCCAGTGCAGTGGACCCAAGACGTATCCATTGGGGGCACTAAATAGGAAGGTATTATGCAGTATGCAGCTCTACTTCATGCAGATGACCTCCATGGCAGGAGTTAGTAGGGGCCAGGGAGTGGCTAGGGCGTGGACCCAGAATGAAGTCCGCTGTTGTACATATCCTTAAAGCTGTGTAGGAAGAGATTGCATGTAAGTATCCTGCTTAGATTGTGTTACCCACTGAGTTGCAGTAGCTGATATAGAGCAGCATCATAGATGTCCCAAGATCTGAGGGTGATAATATTTTCTTGGCCCCTGCATGCCAGCTCTCTCTAGCACCTACTCCAGCTATTCAAGCCAGGCTTCAGGATGTGTATTTGGGCTTTATTGATAAGATGAATATATATGTAACTACTCTTGCTAGAAGTAGTAGGAATCTGCATAATACTTCTTGGATTTTTTTCAATAAAGGAATGTTTAAAAAAAAGAAGAGAAGTGCATATTTTTGCACATTATTCATTCTGATAAATATAACTATGAAATGGTTTTATAACTCTGGACACAGCTGGAGTTTTATAATAGGCTGTCAGTGAAGTACTACCTGTGATCCTAATGCACTGGTCTATTTTCCTGTTTTTTAGGTAAAATTCCGTTTCAGAATAGCAACAAGAAATTCTTGGATCTGCCTTTCAGAATGACTGTTTCACATCTTGGCTGATTAGCCCCTTTGGTCCCATACCTCATCACTCCCACCAAGGCATGA